AGAAAAAAATCGTTAAATGTAATAATAAAAGTTTGTTTAAATTTAATAAAAATTTAGCCATATATAGAATTCATTATTAAGAACAAGTTTACTTAATATATAAAAGTTGTTTTTATTAATAAAATAAAAGGTTTAATATATGACAATTATTTCCATTTAATTATAACAATTCTAAGTAGTCCTTCATTTATTGGGGGGGACTGTATGTTAGAATTTGAATTTCATCAATTGATCAATCAAGTACAGACCACAAAGCTCTTCCATGCAAGATAGTTGATGTTTTGCCAGATGATTAATATCGTCTTGGTTATGCTACAGGTATAATTAACAGGTGTATTCAGCAAATGAAATGGAGTTAATGGGATCACAAGAATTTTCAGAGCTTGAAAACATACCTAATATTCCTGTTAGTGTTCGTGAAGCTGCACTTGCTCAATCAGCATCGATTAATATTGGTGTTCATTGTAATTGTCATACAAAATGTGATCAAAACATTGTAAATGCAAAAAATCTGGTGTTGTTTGTGGGTCGAATTGTCATCCTAGCAATAGTCATTGTATAAACTGTGATGAATAATACTTAATATTCGAAATAAAATAATTTATATAAATTAGAAAAATAATTTTTTTTCTCTTGCAAATATAATTTTAAGTTGACGCATATTTAAATTTGATGATTAATTTGATTATGTCAATTTTATATTGACGTAAGTAAATTTAAATTTGATATTGACATAATGTCAACTTAAAATTTTAAATTAACATAAATTATGCTTTGACGTACAACAGATATAAGTTCAACCTTTCTAAACGAAATATGCATCTTATTTTTGTTAATATTTATTTTCTATTTTATTTTCATACAAATTATTCATGCGATTTTATAGTTAAAATTTTTACGCTTATTTAAATCAAGTGAATTAAATATTGTTATAACGTTAAATGCTATGGAGTTTCGCAGGATCCCAAAACCAAAAATTACATTTTTGTCATGCAAGATGAACAAATTACGGGAACTAGAGAAAACTCTTGGTAACTGAATTTCATGACAGAGTAAATTGGATCCTTAAAAAAAAGGTTGTCCTCGCACTCTTGGGATCTATCAAAGAGATTTATTGACAAAATTTAATACATTGGGATCTGCATAGTGGTAATATCTAATAAAAAATTACCATGTGATAATAATACCCGTATGTAATAGAATAATGGGTATAATGGGTGTCACGTACATTACATTTTAACATCTTATATTAGGAAAAGGGTTTAAAAAAAGGTTTATTGACTTTCTTGGTCTGACATTCAGCCGAAATTAATATAATCAAAAGAAGAACGTATGAATTTTTGGTGACACATTCACTGTCGTCCCGTATGTAATTGAAACTTATTTTGAACAAAGCATTATAATGCATCTTTTCTGGGACAACAACTATAGTTATTACACCAGTGCGATGTAACACTTAATTCCTTTGTCTACTATCGTCCTTTATATAATAGAACCTTATTTTTGAACAACATTATGTAATGTGACACTTATATCGGAAAAACGTTTTAAAAACAAGCTATTCAGCCCAATTGCACGTACGTATGGCTGAAATAGAAAACTTCGCAAATGTATTAATTTTTGGTGACATGCACTGTCGTCCCGTACGTAACAGAATCCTATATTTGTAATACCCTTTTTGTGTATATAATTACAGAATAATCATAACGAATTAGTTATTGAGGCCAACCTTTTCTTCAAAATACCAAAAAAAGTTAAAATGAATAAATTCTCCGCACATTACAAGAATGGTATGACCTACTTAGAAAATGCTAGAATACAAAAATCCAACGGTCATCCAGTGGATGCGCTAGACACTTATCAAAAAGCAATTGATGAATTTAAGGCTAAATTGTTCCGATCTCGTGACGTAAAAAAACTCTTATCTGAAGCTTATGTAGAACGTGGTGATATCTACAAATGTTTAGGAGAAATAAATAATGCTAATATTTGCTATAAAGAAGCTCAAAATTATGGGTCGAATTATGACGAAGTATTGACAACATCAACAAAACCCGTGCAAATAGAAAACATGCCTGAAGAAAATTCTTTTACCAGTCCTATTGTAACATCAACCTCTTTAATAGAGACAACGACGCCGACCTTTTTACCAAAACTAAAGTTTTTTATCCAAGATCCACTAGTAGCATCCGAGTCACCAAATAATCATACTCAGGAGCAAGCGCCACACTCGAAGATAACTGACCTAAATGATATTAACAATACTCAGGATTTAGCATATTATCTGCAACCTAATAATCATACACAGGAACAAGCGCCACTACTAATAAAATTGGCCGTAGAGATTATCGAACTATTCTCTAAGAAAAAAATCAAAACGGAAGAGATGATCAATGAAATCGTCATCTTGGCATCCATTCCACATAAAGAAATTTATGAGGAATTGTTAGAACTAAGTATTGAGAAAATTAAAAAATCAACATTACAACATTCTAAACATTTGATTTGCTTAATTCAAGTAATTCAAAACATGCCCAACTCTCTCCTGATTACCGGAGAGGTTAGCACGGGAAATTTAGTGGTGATGTTGAAAATCTTACATTCCCATATAGAAGATCTGCACAAACAAGACAATGAGACCGAGCTCAGCGAATTATTACAAACACTCTGTCCATTATTAGATGCCATGGTGCGGATAGG